AGATCATGCTTCTCCTTTCATCTCATATTTAGAAGTCTTCAGATGATAAAAAGAATACAATAAAATACATTTATTATGAAATTGTTATATATAGAGTACTGTGCTAGGTACTGGAGAGACATAGAAAGTTTGGAAAGATGCTCTCCTTGGGGGTAATGGAATATACATTTATATGGCATCTACTATGTGTCAGGCACTGTGCTAAGAGCTTTTTACAAATATTATCTCATTTGGTCCTCACAAGAACCCTATGAAGTAGGTATTGTTATTATTTCCAATTTATAATTGGGGAAACTGAGGCTGGCCCAGGGTCAAACAGTAAATGTTTAAAGCCAGATCTAAGCTCAGGTCTTTGAATTCTAGGCCCAGTGCTCTATTCACTGTGCTACCTAGCCTAGCCCCTTGGCCTCATGTGATCTATAGAATACTGTAAGGATCACACCAACATGAATATAATATGTGATATTATAAGATGAGTGTTTTATTGAGTTACAAAACAAGGGACTATATGAGGTGTGAGGAGAAAAGTCATTACCGATGGGGGAATCAGATGACTTCACAAAGGAAGTGGCATTTAGTTTGGGTATTAAAGATGAGAAGACTAAAAGAGGACACTCAGTCTAGAGGCAGCATGGTGTAGTTGAAAGAACACTGGATTCATAGTCAGGTGGGATCTGTTCTTTTTTTTTAAGTTCAAACTGTTTCCCCTTTTTTAAGGTCCAAATAAATGTTATACAGACAGGAACTCAAAGAAAAACATGTTCAAATAACATTTTTATCATCAGTATCTCCAAGTAAATGTGTATAATCAAGTAGCATTACCAGTCAATCCTCAGGAGTCCCATCCATAAGAGTTTATGCTTTGTCTAGGCCAAAATTCCTTTGGAGTAGAGATTCCCACTTCTTCTAAAGTTGACCTAAGATCCTGAATAATATATGGGTAGATTTCCTTAAGAGGTCCTGCTTTGTCCTTTATAACCATTAGAACGTAAACGATGCCAGCAAAATCATCTAACTGTCTGCATGCCCTCAAAGTAGCATCAATGATTTTAAGTTCTGGAACCAGGTCATAACCAACTAGTGTGTTCATCCTTTTCGTAATTCCCAGGCATTGTGATTTATATGATTGCTGCTTTGTAGTTCTTAATTCACAGAGTTGTTTTGAGGAGCAAATGAGATGGTATTATGTGAAGTGCTATATAAAAGTCAGTTCTTACTATTCACAGCCTGAACAAATACATGGAAGGAGCTTGGTGGTACAATGGATAGAACACTGGACATGGAGTCAGAAATACGTGAATTCAAATCTGACATTAATCACTTACTAGCTACGTAACCCTGGGTAAATCACTTAACCTCTGTCTGCTTCAGTTTCCTCAATTGTAGAATGAGTATCATAATAGAACCTACATCCTAGGATAGTTGTGAAAATAAAGTGAGATGATATTTATAAAATAGTGCTAGTTATCACCATCATCATTATTGTTACTATTATAGTTGTTGTTAAGGAGACCAAAGACCATAGTGCACGTTTGTGGGGAAGATAGCTTTCTGGTTTCACTTAAGAATAGTGTGTGGAGAGCAGTAATAGATGATAATATTGGAAAGACATACTATTCTTGAGTGAAACCAAAGCTATCTTTCCTACAAATGAGCACTGTGGTCTTTTGTCTCCCTAATTAAAATAGTTACAATAACAATAATGATGATGGTGATAACCAGCATTTATATGGAAATGAAGATACTGGTTGGCTATGATCTGGTTCTGGAACTTAAAATCATTGATGCATGATTTGCATGCAGGCAGTTAGATGATTTTGCTGGCACAGTACACATTCTAGAGGTTGTAAATGACAAAGATAAACCTCTTAAGGGAATCTCCCCATGTTTAGGGGAAAGAGACATGTTGAGTTTGAGGTGATTATGGGATATCCAAGTGGAGAAAATGTCATGTAATCAGTTAGTCAGTAGATAAACATTTGTTAATTACCTACTATATGCCAGGCACTGTCCTAAGTACTGGGGTTTAAAACAGTGAATAGTTCTTACCCCTGAGGAACTCACAGTGTAATGGAGCGGGGGGAGAGATGATATGCAAACTCTATACAGAATAAATAGAAAATAATCAACAAAGGAAAAGCACTAGAATTAATTGGTAAAAGCTTCCTGCAGAAGAGGAGATTTTAGCTGGGACTTGAAGGAAGCCAGGGAAGTCAGGAGGTGGAGATGACAAGGGAGAACATTCCAGGAATGGGGGACAGCCAGTGAAAATACCCAGAATTAGGACACAGAATATCTTGTTGAGGAACAGCAAGGAGGTAAGTGTCATTGGATCAAAGAGTATGTGAAGGTGCTGTAAAGTATAAGAATATGGGAAAGGAGGGGCAGCTAGGTGGTGCAGTGGATAGAGCACTGGCCCTGGAGTCAGGAGGACCTGAGTTCAAATCCAGTCTCAGACACATAATACTAGCTGTGTGACTCTAGGCAAGTCACTTAACCCCAACTGCCTCACAAAAAAAAGTCCTAACGTGTCTTTTAGAAGGGCAGCTGGGTGGCGCAGTGGACAGAACTCCATCTTTGGAGTCAGGAGTTCCTGAGTTCAAATCCAGCCTCAGACAAAGACCTTGGGCAAGTCACCTAACCCCATTGCCTAGCAAAAAAAAATCATATATATGTGTGTGTGTGTGTGTACTTAGGTTATAAAAGACTTTGAATATCAGAGGATTTAATCTTGGAGATGATGGGGAGCCACTGGAGTTTATTGAGTGGGGGGCAGTGTGACATGGGTGGACCTGTGCTTTGGGAAAATCACTATGGAGGCTGAGTGGAGGATGCAGAGCAGAGGGGAGAAACTTGTGGCATGCAGACTAACCAGTAAGCTATTACATTAATCCAGGTATGAGGAGATAAGGGTACGCACATAGGTGGTGATTGCCACCAGAGGAGATGGAAGAGTGAGCCTGGAGTTCAGAAGAGAGATCAAGGCGGTAGATTTAAGGGGAGGAATCATCTGCAAAGACGTGGTAGGTGAAGGTCTGAACACAGAAGGAATTGACAGGGGAAGGAGTGGTGAGAGAGAAAGAGGAGGCTGTTGAAGACAAAGGCTTGGCAAGCACCTCCATGCTAGAGGACGAGCGTCTTCTGAAGACTTCCTCTGATGATTACTTTGTTTTTGTTTTTAAAAAATTTATTTATTAATTTTTAGTTTTCAACATTCACTTCCATAAGATTTTGAGTTCTAAAATTTCTCCTCCTCTCTCTCCTCCCCCCTCTCCAAGATGTCGTGCAATCTGATATGGGCTGTACTTATGTATTCATGTTAAGCATATTTTCCTATTAGGCACGATATAAAGAAGAATTAGAACCAATGGGAGGAACCATGAGAAAGAGAATCAAAACAAAACAACAAAAGAAGAGGGGAGCATGATGGTTACTTTGTAACACACACACACACACACACACACACACACACACACACCCCAGTCCTCCATTTACTTTCCTGTTTATGCCATGTTCTGTGCAGCGCATGAATTTGAGAATCTTAGTATACCTCTCTACCAACCTTGTACTAGTAAAGCTTTGCTTCTTAAGCAAGGTCTAGGGAGTGAGGGATTTCAGGATACTGAATAAGCACATGAATGATTCATGATGAGGAGTCAAGTACATTTGGCAGAACAGAATTTGAATCACAGATTTAAGGGACCTTAGAGGCTGTCTAATTCCAGGTCATGCAAGTACTAAGGGATAGAGTCAACATTTGAATTCAGGTACCATGACTCCAGATCTAGTGTGCTTCTCACTCCATCACAGTTCCTCCCCAGAGGTTGTTTTGTGGACCCTTGGATGCAGAAGCCTGGGATCCTTACCTAAGAGATTCATTTTGTGGCAGTAATCCTGTGTAATCTGGAATGTTCCCATCTCATTTCAGGTCAAAGGATTCTCTGAGAACTTTGCTCTTTCCTTATTCTTATTTAAGTCTAACGTATCTAGTTGGGAGTTGGGGGATGGGGTCAGGGATAAGAAGGTGGAGGAGGGTGGAGCTTCTGATGAATGAAGTCCTTCAAGCTCACTAAATAAATTACCTTATGGAGAGAGGCGGAGAGCTGTCCTGGAGAGCGAGCCAGTTAGACCTGGGTTCAAGTAGCCAGATGACACCTACCGGCTGTGTGAAGCTGTGGAAGTCATTTCTCTATGTTGCAGGCAACTCTTGAACACTATGTAACAGAAAAGTTGCTGACCCATTGTTAGAGGGAATTTTCTTACCTGAGAGTTTTTTATACCTCTAAAATAACAAATCCTGTCCCTCTGTAGACTCTATCATATTTCATGAGATACAATCTCCAATCTAAGTTGTTTTTTCCCCCTCTTGGCATCTGAAAAATTGATGATTTTCCTGGACTATGTCTAGTGGGAACACATCTCTCATAACTAATAATAATAGCTAGCAATTTTATCGCTATTTAGCCCCCACCTTAAGGTTTATGATGCATTTTATACATGTTTTCTCATTTGTGATCCTCACAACAACCTTGTGAGCTAAGTGCTATTATTATCATCCCTATTTTACAGATGAGGAAACTGAGGCCAAGAATAGTTAAATGATTTCAGGGACACAAAACTAGTAAGTGGCTAAGGCAGGATTTGAATGCAGATCTCTTCCTGGATCAAACTCAAATACTCTGTCCACCTCCCTATGTCATAGGATCATAGATTTAGGGCTGGAAAAGACCTTGGAGCTCATCATTTTACAGATGAGAGATTAAGTGACTTTCTCAGGGTCACATAACTATGTCAGAGGTGGGATTCAAACCCAGGTTTTATTGGCTCCAGGTCCAGATCCAAGAGGTTTCCGGGGAACGCAGCCAATCTCTAGAAACTGTTGTTGGGCCTCATGGCATTTCATTGCTGTTGACACTTCCGATGTTTTCACAGTGAAAGAGGAGGAGATCAGAGAACCAGTAAGGATGGGATAGAAACTTTTCTTTTCTTTGTCTCTGTAGGTTTTGGCTGGTGACTAAGGAAGATGGTCACATGGTCACTGCAAGGCAGGAGCCTCGCTTAGTGCTGATCAACATAATGTGGGACAATGACCAAATGACCCTCAGTGCTCCAGATATGAACGATCTGGTTGTACCTAGAAAACTATCCTCTACCAATGCTATTCGGGACTGCAGGTGCTCTGCCACAATGAAGTGGGGGATGTGGGTGGGAGAAGAAAGGTTCCACTCTTCACTTTTTGGGATAAGAATTCATTTTTCTTTTTCAGGGTTTCTCAAAGCTTTATTTCAGTGGTAGAATTTGTCCGAACCAAAAAAAAAGGCATATATATTGAAATTAATAAAGAATTTAAAAGAACACAAGCTTATCTGCCTCTGGAAAAAAGGGGGAAAATTAAGAATAAGTGGAGAGGTATAGGGCTTTGAATTCTAGGCTTCAGGATACATCCTGGGAGAATTGTCTGATTATCCAGTGTCTTACATTGTGAGGCAGCATAATAATTGGAAAGAATGCTGACTCTGGAGTCTGTTCAAAGAAATATCAGAAACAGAAGCAAGGTAGAGTAAAGGGCTTTTGGAAATATCCCTTCAGGCAGAAGAAGCTTTTGGAGGCTACATGCAAGCAGTTTTTTCTTCCTGCCCTGTTTAGGACTGAGATCATCCTAGCTCTGAGCCTGACACAGGAGTGAGAGCAAGGGAACTCTATCTCACCCTTACAACAAGATGTGTGAGTTGAAGAATAAAAAATTGTCAAATGTAATTCCAAGATTTTTGGTCTGAGTAGTGGGTGCTGGCATCAGAGGAGATAATTCTGACCAGAGAGGCTGAGTAAATATCTCATGATACCAAGTCACCATATATAACAACTCTGAAGCTCCTGAGCTCAGTCACAAATTGCAAAGGGTACAGGGTATACTGCAAGGGTTGGGTGGACTTCTGGGATGGTCAAGTCCTGACAAAAGGTTTGGTCAGGCTGTTTGTAGTAAAAGGGAAGCTGGATGGTATTTTTGGATGGAAAGTCTCATTTTTTTTTATATTGACAATTCCTCTAAGCATTGACCCCCTTTTTTTATGTTGACAATCCCTCTAAGCATTGACCCTATTTTTTATGTTGATAATTCCTCTAAGCATTGACCCTATTTTTTATGTTGACAATTCCTCTA